TATACGTGCAAACATGTATTTGTGCTTCTCTGCCTGACTTATTTCGCTCAGCATAACACCCTCAAGGTCCATCCATGTAGCTACACATGGCCAGATTTCATTGTTTCTCATTGCCATGTAGTATTCCATGGTATAGATAAACCACATCTTCTTGATCCATTCATCTGTTGATGGACACCTAGGCTCTTGCCATGTTTTAGCTATTGTGGAGAGTGCTGCTATGAACATTGGGGTACATGTGCTCCTATGCCTCAGCATTTCTGTATCCCTTGGGTAAATTCCTAGCAGTGCTATTGCTGGGTCCTAGGGGAGTTCTGTTGTTAGTTTCCTGAGGAACCTCCACACTGTTTTCCAGAGGGGCTGCACCAGTTTACATTCCCACCAACAGTGTAGGTCACACTCCATACTTTAAATGTGTATAATTTTTATTTGTCAGTTCAACCTCCAAGCTGAGGGGAAAAAGAAGTTTGATTAGGGGCCCAATATTAATCCATAAACTCTAGATTGGCTTTGTACATCTTTACTTGGGGTCTTGTATCATTGTTAGTGGTTCTCTTTTGCTTAAGACAAAAATAGAAAAAACATACTTTCAAGGACCAAGTTATTTAAGCTTTTTGTTTGTTGAGGGCTGGGTGAGCTTCGTAATGACAGGTAGTTTTGTGTCTTTTGTGATAATTATCAATGATGCCTCTCTTTGCCATTTAATGTATCTGGGTATGAATGATACATTTTTTGAACTTGGAGCTTGTGAGTAGGAAGTGAAGAGAAATGGATAGATGTTTCTACTTCACGGTAGCCATTGTTGTTTTCCTTTTCGTGTTTTGCTCTGTCTGGCTAAATCTGTGCAAATTTCTTAAGTGAATACTGAGTCCCTGTGCAAGGAGCTGGGCAGATAGAGGTTCCAGCATGACTAAGTTCATGTGGGGAAGCTTTCAAGTTTTCAGTCCAAGACTAAAATTTGGGGCACCTGGGTGCCTCAGTTGGTTAAATGTCTGACTTTAGCTCAGGTCAGAATCTTGGAGTTTGCAAGTTCAAGTCCCACATCGGGCTTTGGGCTGACAGCTCAGAGCCTGGAGCCTGCTTCAGATTCTGTATCTCCCTCTCCCTCCCTTGCTCATGCTATGTCTCTCTCTCAAAAATAAAATAAAAAATAACCATTAAAAATAAATAAAAGATTAAATTGTGAATAGTTTCTTATTTTAAATAAATGTACCTGGTAAATGAGAGTGGAAATTTAACTACTCATATTTAATCTTCAAAAACTGGGTATTAAAAAATTTTTATTTAGAATGCCACTTTCTAATGTCTTTAAGAAATATTTTTGTAAAGAGTAAACACAAAGTTTTCAAACATGGTCTGTACATGAGGCACTGTGCTGAGATGTTTTTAATTTAATCCTCAAGTGTAGGGGCACCTGGGTGGCTCAGTCAGTTAAGCATCCGACTCTTGATTTCAGGTCAGGTCATGATCTCACGGTTCATGAGTTTGAGCCCTGGATCGGGCTCTGTGCTGACAGCTCAGAGCCTGGAGGCTGCTTCAGATTCTGGGTTTCCCTCTCTCTGCCCTCTCCCACTTGTGCTCTGTCTCTCTTTCAAAAAATAAACATTAAAAAATTTTTAATAAAAATAACTGAAAAATATTTAATCCTCAGATTTAAACTATATAACCATACTGCAGTAATCCACTGTTTTCAGTACATTTGTGCTGATGTTGGGAATTGGTGGCTTAGCCATAGTGGATATTATCCAGAATATTAAGTTACAAAAGTGTAAAACATTTCAGTTGGCTTTTTTCAGAATGTTTAAGTAAAATGCTTTAATTCTAACAAATAGTTTCAAATAACTCATTTTTTAAAATGAAGATGTAGATGCAACATCTTTTATTTAGAATTTATTTGTTTAAGGCATCGTGGCTCAAAAATTAGATCAAGTTGTATAAGTGTCTTATTTACTAGTGGCTCTACTATTTCTGTTCACCCAGGAATCCTTTATCATTACAGCTCAGAGAGCTTCTTTCAGTATGTGTTCTGTATATACAGGAGTATAATTTCACTGAGCCCGCTGCTGAATGGTATTAGCACGGAGTTGCTTTTTCTCCTCCTGGTAAGGATTTTCACTGACTCACATCCATAAGGTTCTGCCGTCTACCTCATGAGCACTGACGCACACTTTGTATTTGGGATCCAAGATACAGTTTCTGACTAGTGAGGGAACTGTGCACTTTTTTGGGGAATGGAATTTGCAACCCTGGCCTTATTTAAACTATTCCTGAAGCCCTGCTGTTATGATGGAAAGTAAACATTAAAAGCATATGAAAAATGACTAGAAAGATATGCATTACCCTGTTTAGGAGTGGAGTTGAAAGTTAACAAGAAAGTCTCATTAGGTTGTTCTATACAATAAGGATTAAAAAAATATCTTATGTAACATGAAATCTGTAGGTTTGTGCCACACTAGGCCTCTAGCTCTGCCACTAAGGGGACATGCCCTCCTTGAACCAAGTACTAGCAGTCTCAAGTTTGGCTTGGTTCCAGCAGCTTTTACTCTGAAATCTTATTACCATGGGCCATCCTGGCCTCATTCTGGGCTGGGAGGTGTGGCCCAGGGAAGGAGGGAGTGGATGTTGTGGGGACCACAACAGACTTGTCACACGCCCGGAGCTCAGGTAGAGGGGTTGCATTTGGGGGTCCAACTGTGCTTGGGAGTTGGCAGTTCAGGTCCTTTTTTATAAAATATATTTAACATTATGTTTCGGTGGACACAATAGCAACATTGACAAAAAAATCACAGCTCATAATGCAGAGCTGCACTGAGGAAAAACCAACTGATTAATGACTTGTGAGCAATTAAAATAGTATTTATAAGGTTGGTAAGTACACAAGAAAAATGTCTATGCCTGAAATCTTGCAGTCTTACAAAAAAAAATACTTGAAAAAGGTTTGACCAAATTTTACAATAAGTCTAAAATTTAAGTGACATTTCTAATAACAAGTTGTAAAGCATCAAAACGAAGAAATCAACCATTGATGCAAGAGGAATAACCAAATTATCTTTTTCTTCTCTCCAACAAAATTGATATTATAAAGTTGTTAGAATATGATGGCATAGTCAAAGAGTAGGTCTCCAAAGTAGAGAGGAAAAGTGTTATAGAGATTTTTCAGGTAGTGCATTAATAAAAATTATGCTAATTTTTTGGGTTATTAAGGTTAAGATATTTCTCATTTCTTAAATTTATATTTGTTAATATTTCTTTTTTTATCCATCTTTCATGACAAGCATGACAGAAAATGTCTAGCAGGTCCTATTTTTTTCTTATAAGACTGTAAATAAATATGACAAAGTGGTCACACCTGTGCCTTCTGGGTGGTCATAATGTGAGATTAGATTATTTTGTGGGTTGTTTTTTTTTTTGAGATTTTAGTAGCTGTTTTATTTATTTATTTTTACAAATAGTTTATTGTCAAGTTGGTTTCCTTATACCACCCAGTGCTCATCCCCACAAGTGCCCTCCTCCATGCCCATCACCCCCCTTTCGCTCCCCCCACCCCCATCAGCCCTCAGTTCGTTCTCAGCATTCAAGAGTCTCTCATGGTTTGCCTCCCTCCTTCTTCTCCCCCATGGTCCTCCATTAAGTTCCTCCTAATCCATCTCTACATGCAAACATATGGTATCTGTCCTTCTCTGTCTGACTTATTTCGTTCAGCATAAGACCCTCAAGTTCCATCCATGTTGCTACACATGGCCAGATTTCATTCTTTCTCATTGCCATGTAGTATTCCATTGTATAGATAAACCACATCTTGATCCATTCATCTGTTGATGGACACTTAGGCTCTTTCCATGTTTTGGCTATTGTTGAGAGTGCTGCTATGAACATTGCGGTACATGTGCCTATTTTGTGGGTTTCTTAAATTGCTTTTAAAAAATTCTTTTTGTGGGGCGCCTGGGTGGCTTAGTCGGTTAAGCGTCCGACTTTCGCTTAGGTCATGATCTCGCGGTTCGTGGGTTCGAGCCCCGCATCGGGCTCTGTGCTGACTGCCAGCTCAGAGCCTGGAGCCTTTTTCAGAGTCTGTGTCTCCCTCTCTCTCTGACTCTCCCCAGCTCACGCTGTCTCTCTCTCTCTCTCACCTAGAAATAAATAAAAATATTAAAAAAAAAAAAAAGAATAAAAGGTCTCTATGGAGAAAATAATAAAAAAAAAATTTTTTTTGTAACACATTGCCGTAAAAAAGAGTGTACATTAGAGGTAGCTGGGTGACTCAGTTGGCTAAGTATCCAGCTTCGGCTCAGGTCAATATCTAATAGTTCATGAGTTCAATCCCCACATCAGACTTTCTGCTGTCAGCACAGAGCCCACTTCACATCCTCTGTTTCCCTCTCTCTCTCTCTCTCTGCCCTACCTCAGCTTGGGCTCTGTCTCTCTCTCTCTCTCTCTCAAAAATAAACATTTATAAAAAAGAAAGAGAGGACATTAGAGCAGCAGTCTGAGACAGATGAGGGCTCTACCAAAACTCTTATACTTACTAATTGTGTGAATGTCGCAGATACCCTCCTTGATGTGAGCCTGAGTTTTATCTACAGAATGTGACTCAGGTCACCCGTCCCTTTCTGTTACCTGGGTTTTGTACAAGGATAAAAATGAAAGGTAAAAAGACTTTATAGGTTATAAAATAATTAATAACCATAGTATCATTTATTCCATCGATATTCATTTTAGAAACTTTTTTGTTGGAAGGGATGAATCTAATATATATTTTCCCAAAATGGTAGAACCATAGATTCATTTTATGAACTTTTATTTTTGTCATTTCTACATAGTTATTTTTGCTCTAGAGCACTCAGCCATTTACTCTGCGTTGTACTGATTTGAAATGCATCCTCAGTAGAGCCAGAGTACACTTCAGTAATATTGTGGCATATGTTGAGATAACAGCTATACCCAGAAATTGATAATGATAATCCTATAGTCACATCAATCTTGTACTTTATGTCTCCTTTCAGGTGAATGGTGATATTCCCCCTCGGTTAAAAAAAAGTGCTCATGAAATCATCCTGGACTTCATCAGATCAAGACCTCCTTTAAATCCGGTATGTGATCTGAGGCATTCCCTTTGGCTGGAGGTCAGGTAGCAACGTGCTCTTCTTAGGATGTGATCTCTGGAACTCAACTCTCAAAGTAGTTTTTACACCGAGCTTTTATTCTCAAAATGGTGAAGCCTAAATGTAGGTTATATTCTTCAGTCAGAGAAAAATACTTGATAGTTACTCAGTACAAGGTTGTGTTAGGATGTTTTAACTCAAAAACAACCCAAGTCATGGTGCAGTTTAGTAGCCACATGTCCCTGAACAAATGAATCAGCCTCTGTGAGCCCTTATCCCTCAACTATAGAAAGAAGTTAGTAATAATCTAAGAACATTGTAATGACTTGCTCAAAAATGTTACTTTTAGGGGCACCTGGGTGGCTCAGTTGATTAAACATCCAACTCTTGATTTTGGCTCAGGTCATTATCTCATAGTTCATGAGATTGAGCCCCAAGTTGGGCTCTGCACTGTTAGCACGGAGCTCGCTTGGGATTCTCTCTCTCCCTCTCTCTCTCTGTCCCTCCCCAGCTCGCATTCGTGAATGCCCCCACCTCAAAAATAAATAAATAAACATTTTAAAAAGTTGCTTTTAAAAACAATAATAAGATGTAAAGCATAGGTTACATTTCAATTGATTACCTATCATGGTAGCATATTGTGAACATAATTATGACTTTAACAAAACTGACTCCTTAAAATTGGTCGAGTACATGTGACTTAATTACTCTGAAATCCAGTAATCTCCCTATTGCGTAAAATAGTCTTTTATCAAGCAGTGTTGCAGTCAATGAAATACAGTTTCATAATACTATACTGTACTGGAGGAATGGACTTCCGTAAAAATTGTTTAAGGACAGCTACTCAAGTCTATAGCCATTACTTTTTTTTTTCCCCCAAGGTCTCAGCCAGAAAACTGAAACCCACTCCACCACGGCCACGGAGCCTTCATGAAAGAATATTAGAAGAAATCAAAGCAGAAAGAAAGCTGCGGCCTGTCTCACCAGAGGAAATTAGACGGGGCAGATTAGGTGAGTCAGCTGCTTACTACACTGGTCCAGCCTCATCCACTTGCAATGTCTTCATACAACTAGCCCAGTGAAAAATAGTGATATAGTAAAACTAGTGTTTGTTCCTCTCTCCCTTTGTCTCTCTCTGTCTTTCAAACACACACTCACACCCCTTCACACTTATTTAAATTTGTACTTGAAATTTCACGGAAGAAGAGATTCTCTCCCCATGTGATACTGAACTACATGAGAGCATCACAGCTCAGTAGGAGTTGCTCTGCCATTCTCTAGACTGTGGTTTTAGGAGTGTCCCTATACCTCTCTGAGTGTTGATTTCTTCGTTGGCAGAAGGGGTTAGAAATCCTCTACACTTTCATTATGGCTTTTATGTAAGAATTAAATAGGGTTCTTGTCAGAATACTTCACAAATTGTAATACACATACAAAGTTATTATGTTTTAGAAATATGAATGACACATAGTTTTACTGTACATTACTGTTATCTTAATTATGGATTTAAAGATAGAGTATTATGTAATGAAAGCATTAATTATTATCTTACATCACTTATTCTCGAACTTCTTTTATATTTGTTATATTTAATATTGTTAAACGTATCCTATAAACACACATTAATTTTGACTTATAGCAAGACCATATTATAAAATGTTTGTAAATATATTGTTCATACAACTCTCCTTCTATTCGTAAGATTAAAGATGCCCAAAGAATTCAGAGAACTTCCTTTAGGAAAATAGATTATAATGGCATCTGAACAGAAAAGGAACGACACACTCCCTAGTTTTCTCTTCTCATCTCTTTTTCCTGCCTCTTTCAGACTCTACTTGGTCCTTCAGATTCTGTTCTGGGCACACTTCTCCCTGAGCTACCACACCCTTTTTTCCATGGTTTTTGCTCAAGCTATTTCCGCTCCCATCTACCAACTGATCCCTCTGAGTTCACACCCATTCATCCAGCTATCTGCTAGCTAGGGCCTGCAGCAGGGTGAGTGAAATCATCTGTTTTCTCCTCAAACTTCCTCCATCGCAGTGTGCCCAAGGCAGAACCTCAGCATCATCTCTGACTCCTGCTTAGCAGCTGACTCCTGTTGATGTTTCTTATTCTGGATCTTTCTAGCCTCCCCCTTTTTTAGCCTAATACTATCCTAACTTAGCCTGTCATCTTCGAAGATTCTTTTCTAGTTTATCACATCAGCTTTGGCTACCCTCTCTGCTTCCAACCCTGAACTCTTCAGTCACTCCATGTTGATCTCCTTCATTAAACTCTTGGCTCTTCTGTTACCTTATGACCTCCATGCCAGCAGGGCCCATTTCTTTCTTGTTCATGGTTGGAGAAGGGCTCCCATAGGTGCTGAAATAATTGAATGTACCTTCCAGTTACAAAGCTACAGAGAATATGGGTTGTATGAGTTTATTGCTGTCTAATTTTTATGACGGCAAGTATTATCTCTTAAAAATAATGTTGAAAGCATGCTAAGTGACAAATCCATATGAGCATTTGTATAATAACAAACTAAAGCATATAAGCCATGTATACCAAGAGTTCTTATCCTGAGAGTCTTTGAATGGGCCTGAGGAGAGTCTATGACCCCTGCACTAAAAAAAATGTGTGCTTATTTCACAAAGTATAAGTATGTCCATTTTTCTGGACAGAGGGTCCATAGCTTTTCTAAAATTCCTAAAGAGTCCACAGCTTCAAAAGAGTAAGAACCACTGTGGAAGAATAAGGAAGTGGTGTTACATAATGCTAGCTTAAGATTGGACTTTTAAAAAATCACTATACCTAGGAAAGGAATACTGGGGTAATAGATTTCAACAAAAGTATGAGGCAGAACAAATATATTACCAGGATAAAAGTAAGCTTTATGATTTATAGGAATACAGAGTTATTAATTAGGCTGAGGGGTTGTAAACTTTAGTGGAAATGCAGTAAAAAAGAGAGGAGCAAGATAGGCATAATGTGCATCAACAATGCATATGATATTTGACATATAGTTTCTTCGCTTTTCTAATACTTATTTGAACCTTTATTTTCTAGTAAACAACCATGTCATCTCCTGGGGTACAGAGGTGAACAAGGCATAGTGCCTGCCCACAAATGCTTACGGAACAATGACTGGAGTGTTGTGCATGTTCATGTTACAGGACCATTAATCGCACCCAGTCACAAGGCATTAGTGAGGCCAGGGAGACTAGGGAGAGACTAAGCAGTCCTTGTCAGTGTCACGGGGACACTCTCATTGCCTGGAAGGGACATCATAAGTCTTTGTCTACATATATATTCTTGTCTTTCATTTTAAACAAATTAGATGCTCAATAACAGGAAACCTACTTTAGAATAAATATCAATTTTGTGTTGTGAGAATATCTTATTATTTTATTTTTTATTTTAATCTTATGCATTGGTGTTTCACAACAACCAGAATTGAGCTGTTATAGAAAGTGATTGTTCATTTTGTGAGAGTCTCCCTTCTACAATTCTGCATTCAAACTGATCTTGAATTTTATTTGAAAGTAAGGAATTTGGGCTCATTTCTGCAGATCTACATTGGTTCTTACTATATAATTTTGCTTTGGGGAGTTTGGTTTGATAAGATTGGCAGAATGAACTTGAAGAGAAGTTTCCCTAAATATTTTTACAAACCTTTCCCCTCCTCATAATTGCAAGCAGAATCCTACTATAAAAATTGGGGAAATGTATAAATGTTTAAAGAATAAATGTTACCCGTAATTTCAACAGCTAGAGGTATCCACTGTGAATCTACTTGTGCATTATTAAATGGAGACAAGAAAGCATTCTGCTCTCTTCATTTAATGTTGTATGTGACATGAACATCTTCCCATGTCATTTAGTATGACTCCTAAGGACGTTATATCCTGATATATGGCTATATTGTGTTTTATTTACCTATTTCCCTGGGGCACCTGGGTGGCTCAGTCAGTTGAGCATCCAACTTCAGCTTAGGTCGTGATATCACGGTTTGTGGGTTTGAGCCCCACATCGGCCTCTCTGCTGTCAGCACAGATCCTGCTTCAGGTCCTCTGTATCCGTCTCTCTACACCTCCCCTACTTGTGCACATTCTCTCTCTCTCTCAAAAATAAATAAACATTTTTAAAAATTTAAAACATCTTTTCCCTAAACTTCTTAATTGCTGTTATGCTTGATTTCTCTCCTGTTTGCAATACATAGAGCTTGGAAAAGATCCAAACCTCATCTTCTAAGAAATAATAGCATTCCTTTCTTATTCAATAGTCAGTCTTATTTTAAAAGAAAGGTTCGCGTACCAGAGAAGTACAGAATGAGAAGATATTAGAGAAGGCTGACAAGTGCTCTGAGACTCTGTTGTATTTTATTTGCTATGCATAATTAGAGAAATGTAGAGTCAATAGGATTTGAATTCAGAAATGCAGGCTTTTTTAGATAGGTGGGCTTTTTTTGGTTCAAGTATAGTTAACATACAGTGTTATATTAATTTCAAGTGAATAGTGTAATGATTCAACAATTCTATACATTTCTCAGTGCTCTTCAGGATAAATGTACCCATGGTCCCCTTCACCTATTTTACCCGTCGCCCCAACCACCTGCCTCCTGGTAACCACCAGCATCTTTTGTTTGCTTGTTTCTTTTTCCTTTGTTCCTTTGTTTTGTTTCTTAAATTCAGAGTATGAGTGAAATCATAGGGTGTTTGTCTTTCTCTAATTGACTTCTTTCACTCAGAATCATATTCTTTAGATCCATGCATGCTGTTGCAAATGGCAAGATTTCATTCTTTTTATGGCTGAACAATATTCCATTGTGTATACCCGATCTTCTTTATTCATTCATCAGTTGATAGGCACTTGGGCTGCTTCCATATCTTCGCTATTATAAATAATGCTCTAATAAATATAGAGGTGCCTGTATCTTTTCAAATTGGTGTTTTCCTTTTCTTTGGATAGATACCCAGTGGTGGAATTCCTGGATCAGATGGTAATTCTATTTCTAATTTTTTGGGAAACAGTAACTTCATCAGTTGACATTTCCACCAACACTGCACAAGGGTTCCTTTCCATATCCTCACCAACACTTGCTGTTTCTTATGTTTTTAGACATTCTGATAGGTGTGAGACGATATCTCATTGTGGTTTTGATGTGCATTTCCCTGATGATAAGTGATGTTCAACTTCTTTTCATGTATTTGTTGGCCATCTGGATGTCTTCTTTGGAAAAATTTCTATTCATGTCCTCTGCCCATTTTTAATTGCATTACTTGGGGTTTTTTTGGTGTTGAATTACAGAAGTTCTTTATATGTTTTGGATATTAACCCTTATCGGTCATATCATTTGCAAATGTCTTCTCCCATTCAGTAGGCTGCCTTTTAGTTTTGTTGATGGTTTCCTTCGCTGTCCAAAAGCTTTATATTTTGATGTAGTCTCAAGAGTTTAATTTTGCTTATTTCCCTTGCCCGAAGAGACCTATCTAGAAAAGTATTTATTTTTTTTTTAATTTTTTTAATGTTTTTTATTTATTTCTGAGAGAGAGAGAGCATGAGCAGAGGAGGGTCAGAGAGAGAGGGAGATACAGAATCTGAAGCAGACTCCAGGCTCTGAGATGGCTGTCACCACAGAGCCCGATGCCGGGCTCAAACCCATGAACCATGAGTTCATAACCTGAGCCGAAATCAGACGCTTAACCGACTGAGCCCCCCAGGCGCCCCAAGAAAAGTATTTCTACAAGAAATATAGGATTTTTTGAATGTTGAGTGGAAGATTGTTTTCCTCAACATAAAATTCCTAACTACTTTTCTGTGAGATAACTAAAATACAGTAAAATGCTTATTTAAAAGTTACATCCTAATTTGTATATTAGAATGAAATACTTAAAGTATTTCCTCATCATCAAACAGTAAGTATGATTGTCAACAAATAGTTGCTTTATTTGCCCCATTGAAGATACACATCTTCAATGTTGATATAAGTCCTTTTTAAAACCATCTACATATGATTCTGACATCTTGCC